ATTTCTTTTGCTTTACCTGACGTTTATTGACCCAGAAAATATAATCTCTCATGGGAATCTTCAACCTTTGATTCGATTAATGACTCAAAGGCAGTCATGAATAATGGATACTCCATAGCATCACCATACAACATAGGAGACTCGTTCGATGGCAAAAGACTCTTTACTTGCTGGTTAACAATAGTCTGAGACAACTCAGTTTGTTTCGTTGAATTTCCACAATGTCTTGGAAAGTATTGCCTTTGACTGACAAACGTGTTGAACAACCTTGTGGTGGTGATGGTGGCAGACACCATACCTGATCAGGAGCAGTATACGTAACAGCAGGAGTCGTTGCTAAAGATGGGTATGATGAAGAATGTACACTCGAGGGGTGTTCATGGGGTTTTGCTGCATAGGCCGTAGTCACTTCCTTACTCCATGATGCACCAGTATTTATCGGTGTTGTGTAAATGGGTCCTTTCTGAGGTACCGTAACTGCACTAAGACGACTAGCTTGTAAAGGCTATTGATAATCTGTAATGCCTAAAGAACTTACAAGTTGTTGCTGCGAAGTTGGTTCCAAACCAGCAGAGTTACCTGATTGTATTGTACAAATCGGAGGACTTTGTGTAAGAACAGGTGCAAAGATTGACTCTTCGTTCTTTATTTCTTCGTAAATCCTTTCTTCTTCCCTTGCTTGAGCTAAACTCTGTTTTAGCTCTTAATGTTCAGCTGCCATTTTAAGCGCTTGCTCTCCTTCAGAAATGATGCTTCGATTTCCAATGCTGCGACCTTAGTTTTTGCTTCTATCAACTTAGCTTTAGATGAAATTGAAGATGAGGTGGACCGTTTAGAGTGATTTGACTTTCTTGTGCGATGAGATCCACTAAAGATAACAAAGGGTTCTTCATTTGACTGATGCCTTTTCGCCTTGGACAAATATTCAATGACAGACTGTTTAAATTTAAAGACATCTCCATCGTGAGCATCGTACCATGAATTGGCATTAACAACAACAGTTTAATCTTCTAACGCTTCAACATAATTATCCTTGCAGTTTAACGAGCAAATTGTTTAGACCTTCCATTTCAACTGTTTTCAACTTTCATAATTGTTAAGATCAGCAAGTAGCGGTTTCATTTTGTTTCTGTCTAGTTACTTGACGTAACGCCACAGCTCTATGATCCTTTAACCTTTGTAACCGTGTTGTTTACCTTTATCCGTTGCAATTTTTCTCCTTTCGCCCACTCCTAGCGCTTCAGCATCATTGACCGTCGATTTTGCTCCCATATTCAGTGAACCTTGAACCTTTACTGAATTAGGAAGTTCGGTTTCTGATGCTGCATCCGTTGGCTGAGTGTGAAGCGGCAATATAACACGAAACAGTTCCGTATCCATTGTTGGGGAGTGCGAACACGAAACTTGCAATCTTAGCAAATTACCATCCTCAAAATAAGCCGCAAATTCCTTGCCTTCACCTTCCATGATCGTAAATACCCCTGAAAACCGTAAGACCAGCTGAAAACCATAGACAAATAGAAGCACCGTAATTATCCTTGTAAACGAAGCCATAAACAATCCATAAGGTCCATGAGGTCGTGAAATAACTGTAGTGGGGAATAGCGGCAGATGATAGCCGTGACGATGAAAACAACAACAAAACGTTTAATCATACACGAGGCTGAATCAACTCACAAGTATCATCACAAATATCCATTAGAAATCCATAGCACGAGAAAGAAAAACTGAAACAAACGACTTACAAAACACTTGGGAAACTTGAAGAAAACCTTAGTGAAACTTCAGGTTATTTCACGGTGGCCTTGTGCGCATGCTCCTAATAAACAAGGGGGTAAGCCTGCTAGTCAGGATACCAGCAGTTACACTTCCTGACGAAAATGGCGATACGCATTTCAGTGTAATTTGTCGTTGAACTGTTTTGAAGTACATGATTTCTCTATAATTTCTATGTTGTTTTTTGCTGACTGTGTAACAATTCATTATATCAACCAAACAATGTATTGAAACCCCATATTAAAGTGGTTAACTCTATTTGTAACTATGCGAAATTGACTAAAAATCAAAATTCACAGTCTTACTGCAATACTGTTTCCCACTTTTGTAGGTGAAAGTGAATTTAATACAGGAATTCCTTTCTTTCTGCACTGATGCATCAATGATCCCACCAATGGGGTTAAACAATCCTGCTGTGATAACAGTGATGTTGACATGCAGCATTTTAACAAATGCTAACACGTGCCCAATGGAGTTAGAGCTTCCATCTGAAGTAAAATCCTACGAACATTTTTGTAATGAGATGGATTTGGCAATAACATCCCAGGCAACTGGATATGGAGTAGCATAAACAGTGTGATAACAAACGGCACTTCAGTGTGCCCTGAAAGAAGTGATTGTGTTACAGGATCGGTTTTAATGGTATTGTTTAACGTTTTGGTAAAGAAAACGCCCGCTTCTTGATGATAAGGAAAAATTGGAATGGCAGTGCTAAATTTATCCTTTCTGTTTTGAATGTGGTTTAGTAATGTTGCATAAATGTTGGTTTTTACCAAAAGGGATAACATGTTGTGTCTGATGCTACGCTTCTTATAGCATACGTTTGTTATGTTACTGTTGTCAACGTTATATTTTGTTGATAAATATTAATAACAAATATACCTGTTTTTCTTTTATGAAGCACTTACGCAGGTGTAAGGTATTCTAGATCACCATAAGATTCATGTGTGTAACATGTCGTGGTTGCATCACACAGAAGATATCAAATTTCCTTCATTTTTCCCTGAATTTACACAGATGGCAGTTAAAGTTCTTGGACAGATCGTGTCAAATTGTTAAAAGAATCTACATTTGCTAGTTTTCAGGACAAGAAATTCCCACAAATTCTCTACACTTGAAGCTATTGACTCTGTTGTAATATCAGTTCCATAATAAAAGTAGAAGTAATTTATTATAAAACCATCAAAGGTTAGAGCTCTCGTGTACCTTACATTACACTATTTTACAGAAATTAAAACACCATGTAAGATCTTAATCGCTCTTCTCTCTGCACTCAATAATAAAACTTTGTGTCGCTCTTGCAATGTTTTGTCATGTATACCTGCATTAGTTTTCCACAACCTGGCTACTGACTAAGTTCAGCATATGTCCTTTTAGGAAAAAATGTATTTAAGGCCTAGCACGCTTCTACACGCACTAATTCAGACTGCTGGACTTCGGGCATAGTTTTGTTAACGCGCAACTTTGAGCCTGCAGCTCAAAGATTGCAAAAAATTGCGTGCATGGATATACAAATCAACACCATAACAGTCACTGTCACCCAAGGGATTAAGCAGTGATCTCAATTGTTGCTGTTGCACAAGGCTAAGATTGACTTGAACACTGGAAACTTCTATGTATGCAATCGTCTGAGAAAGATGAGACACAAGGAAGCGGGCCATATGCATCCCAGTCGATACTGTATGAAGAGACTGCCTCCCGTAGCACAAGAATAATATCACAACTTTAAGCTATCGGACGCAAAACTGTCACAGCTGAAACAGATTTATTTGGTTCAGGGGGATTTTTTGCAAAGCAACAAATTAATGTCAAACAACTTTGGACTTCGTTCTCCGAATGATTTAAATTTCCGGGCTTGGAACAGACAAGAGGGTAGACTACTTGAAGACTTGTTCCAAAATACCAAATGAATATTTGGAGTGGCTATTCACTCACATGGAAAAATGCTATAACAATAATTTTGTCCTCCATGAGTTGCCACAAGCCTCTGTTTCAAAGTGAGGCTTATTGCGAAGCCATTTATATGAAAATGATTTCTTATTCTCATGCAATGGCACTCATTTTCACAATAAAGGCTTTGCATTTAGCCTCGTTGTGAAGGTAATGGTTTTTAAGAACTCAGAAATGCTGGATGGTTTCCTTTGCCCTTACGAGGCTTAGCAAATAATGACAACCATCTATCTCTACTATGTTAACTACAGTCAAACCCCACATAATACGGACACCTCATTATTACAGACAGTTTGCTTTTTCCCTGGAGAAAGAAAGCCCTTGCAGCTTCTTTAAATTCAACCCCCTTAATACGGACACTTTCTATGGCCCCCTTAGTGTCCCCATGCTTTAATCTCAATTTGCACTTGCCTCGTCTAGATGACAAAATATTTCTCAGACAACCTCCAAACCTGAACCACACATTCTTAACATCCCATTGACATATTGCTGAAGAGGAGAAAGATTTCCTGCTCTTCTCATCCGGTGACTGTTCAAGCCTTCTTTCCACATTCCAATGTGTTGGTTTATGCGAGGCAAAAAGATGATGTGACGCAAAAGTATGTCAAGCTCATTCAGTGGATCAAGAGCACCTTGTTCCTCAAGATGCTGAAATATTGATTGATACAGGCAAAGGACCCCACTAAACATGTCTCTCCAAAGTCTTTCGATCCTTTGGTTATGAGTACTACTTTCATCTATGACACTCCCTCGTCCAGATGCTATCAGAGATCAGAATGGTAGACTGGCAGTAATTGTGTTAACACTTCCAATTTCAAAACTCACAAAAGTGGATATTTTAACCCTAAAGGCTCATTTTTCATACTTCTTGCAGGTTTCCCCATTGCATTGCTAAAATTGACCCAGTTTGACCTTTAAATCTCACTGTTTGATTCAAAAAGGAACTTCATGTAATTGCGTGACTTCATCTGTCTCATGCTTAGTGGTGGGAATAGTATGCGTGGCTGCTAGGCAGTCCAGGACCGCGCTTTTCCGCGCCCTTTTGGGGTCAGGTGACCAAGCCGTTAATTAAGTTGCATGATCTTTAGCTCGGCGGTCAGAGATTACTTCGCTCGCTAGTTCAGCGATGGATTTTGGTTTTTCTGGACAAATTTATAATAGGCTCACAAGGTATTAGTCTTTCTTTCATTTCCTCTCTTATTTGGTTTATTATTTCGCCTGTTGTAATTTTCTAGTTAAGTTTGTATTCGTATTTGTTTACTTAGTACATTTCTTGTCGCATGTAATTAAGATCTTTCAATTGTATTTGCCCTTCTAGTTTTACCTCAACCTTATCTACTAGTCAGTAAAACAACAGCCGTTTTCAGTGTTAGAATTCACCGCGTTTGAGTAGTTGTCTAAATGTGGTTATAGTAAAACTTGTGCTGAACAAGAATCGGAACCGCTCTTGTTGAGAGTTTGGAATTTTGGAATCATGGACCGGACTTTCGAAGATGTGGAAGATGGATCGGATTTGAACTTCGATGAAACAGCAGCCGGGATTGATTTTCCTGGAGTCGGAAGGAGTACTCGTGTTCGCGTTCCTACTGAAAGGGGACTGGATTTTCAGCTCACTCTTAAGAGAAAGAATTATAATCAATGTAAGATAGACTGCAAAACAGTCGGTTTTTTTCTCAAAATCAGTAAAGAAATCGGTAAAGCGTGGCGTAGGAGTCTTACGCGCGAGCCTCACACGCCCATAGGGCGTGTGAGGCGAGAGAAAAAAAACCGACTGTCTGTTTGCATACTATGAGTTCGTTCTGACCAGGGGGTTTAAAAATGTCGTCGAGCTGTCAAAAATCTGTTCACAACTCCACCCTCTTTGTGAATTTGATACACTCGGTGATTGATTTCGCGGGAGAATAGCGCGTGTTATTGTCTGCACTTGGCTTCGAATCTTGACGCTGTATCCAGTAAATTCTATAGCAGATTAGTGTTGTTTTTGTGCGAAATATAGTGAATATAGTGAAATGTAGACTACATAGTGGAAAATGAGTGGAAGTGGCAGTACGCCAACAAAGCCTGTGGCTCCTCAAAGAGGGAGAAAACCGAAAGAGCCGAGCGCCTCAGCTAACTGTAGAATGTGCGGCTGTTGCTTCAAAACACAGTTCGGTAATTTTACCGGCAAGAGTGGATGGATAAGCTCGGAAAATATGTTTATTGCGCCTACCAGAAAAGGTACAACGCTACCAAAGTTGGCAGACCTACTAAAAACCGAACTTTTCGTTGTCGTTGAGGAAGGAGAGTCTTTCTCCGCAAGAGTTTGCTCTCCGTGCGGGACAAAGGTTAGAAACTGTGCTGCGATGCTTTCGCAGATTAGAGAAAAACTGAACACACCAACCGAAAATGAACAATTATTGCGATTAAAAAGAATGAGCAAATCCCCTCATTCCACGCAGAACAAGAAATTGGCTCGTACGGCATCTTCGTCTGAACCTTCTGTGCCGAATGAACAACCCAGTTAGATTGAAAGGGAAGTTAGAGCTCGCCGTTCTCTCGCGTTAGGTTCATCCCTCGACTTCCTGGAGAAAGAAAATGGTTTCCCTTTTCCTCCTGGATTAGCAGACGTTGCAGATCCTCCCCGTAACAGATCTAGCGAAACATCAGTTGTTGTGGAGGTAAATTATTGCAACTCAACACGCACGGTAGCTTATGACGGGAGCGAGCAAGGAAATTTGGTGAAGTACATCACGCGAAAGGATTGGAAGGCTGTGATAAACATTCTTTTCAAAATGAAAGAAGTTAAAGCCGTTCTGCCAGGGGCTTTCCTAGCGATAGTTTCGCAAGAGGTTAAAGAGTACTGCAACTCAATGAACGTCCTCAAGAAAACTTCCCCGGAGGAACTTGAAAAATTGTCGCATGTCTTGATAGTTGAAGAATTGGAAAACCGTTGTCCTCTGTGGTCTGCGTCAGCGCGAGCGGTTTGTGGAAAGCTGAGCAAGCCGCGAGATTCTAAAATCACAAATGCCATCGCTTTGTCTTCCGCGATTTTGGCGCGGTGCAGGAACAGAAAAATGTCTGCTGTTGTGCACCGTATTTCCGCGGTTTTAGTTCATAGTGGTGCCAAGAGCTCTGACTTCACGCGATTGAATCGTCTTGGTTTGTGCATGTCGCACGATGAAACAATCAAGAAACAACTTAGATTGGGGGAACATCACGATGCAAAGGTGCAATCCTGGAAAAACAAGGTACAAAGTTGCGAAGAGGTCAAGAATTTGCTCTGTGAAATCGTGGAGAAGCAGTGCGAACCACATGAAGATGAATCTGTTGACTTCTCTCAAGGAGCTCTGGAGGCCTACAGCAGCTTTACCGAAAAGGCCTTTAAAAAATGTGCGACTCTTTTATCAGAAAAGTCAGTTGATGCAGAGAAACCTACAATGGGTGCAATTAAGGATGTGTTGAAGAACCAAAGGTCTGAAAATCGAAAGTCATACAGGTTGGCCTCATTTTCATCACTTTATATATGTACTAGATAGAATATTTTTGGGTCCTTTCAAACGGAGCTGCTTTTAATTTGTTGGCATGGATTTGTCTATTTTAGTTTTCCAGTATAATCAAATGGTTTTTGACCGGTCAGAATGGCCTTTAATACCAACGTTATAGGTTTCTATACAAATTACGTCATTTGTCAGAGTGCTTCGATATCACTAGTAAGCCAAATTAAAATGGCATATCTGAAGATGCTGTAAACTAGCAGAAACATTTTCTTTGTTTATTCTTCTTTGTTATAATTTTCTTGTTTTGGCAATTGCTATAAAATAACCTGTTGACCTTTACAGACAGCAGGAGCTTTTTTCCCTCCTTTTTTGTGTTAGTATAATTTTATTAAAATGCTTGAGTTTTTTTGTACACATTAACTATTCATTATTATAAGCGACAGGTTAATAAAAGGAGTTGTCTTTTCATTTACTTTTTTTAAGCTATTTTTCTAATTTGTTTAGAATGTAATGAAATAATATTGTAAACAAATATATAAATATTTCATTTTTTTAGGATTGTGGCTGACAATTTTGATCTTTGTGTGAAAGCAAGGATGCAAACAAAGGGACACAGTAATCAGTCTCTACACTGGACACATCAATTTGCTGTGGAAGATCGAGTGACAACACCATGTTTCCTTGATGAATCGCAACCACAGTGTAACCCAAAGGATCTCTCTTTGTCCATGTTGTTGCCTGATAAGAACATCCAGGCTTCATTCCACCAGCAATGCTCAATATTGATCAGCCGTGTTCTTGTGACATATTACAAACCATTCAAGATATTCAGGGATGTGGTTATAAACCATATTCCTCACCCCTACATGGAAGAGTCAGCAAAGAAATCAAATATTGTAAGTTTTAAAACCTACTTGTTTTACCAAATTAAAAGATAATACTTTATTTTCCTACCTTGTCAGGGGTTTCCATTTCTAGGAAAATAGCTTGTCTTGTGTTAAATTTTAGTTTTGTGTTTCATTTAATTCTTCATTGCAAATCATGAAAGGACTACTGTGCCTCAGTTTCTGCATTACAACAATATTATTGTAGTAGATGGTTTACAGTTTAGTCAGCTAGTTCTTCAAAATGCATGATTGTAAATAAAGCTGAAAGTAACATTAGTTCCTAAAGCTTGATTGCTTCATTTTCAGAACTGTCTTGGTCTTGAGTTCTTCAATTCGAATATTGCTGGAGAAATGGCTCAACTGATGATGAAAAACCAGGAACGATTCGTGCCCATCAGTCCGGCTCAAGGCTCTGCCTCTCCTAAAGTCCTAGAGACCATTTTTTTTTATGGTGATGCTCTTACAGAGGAACGTGCTAGAAATGTCCAGTGGATGTTTAGAGATGGGGACTGTGAGGTTGACCGATTAGAAGGCCTGGATCCCGTCCATACAGATTGGCATGCCAAGGTTAAATTATATGAGGTAATTAGATACCTACATTAATTAGTAGGCTGCAGATAGGCAATCTACAGATTAGTCAATTATCTGCCAGCATATAATTGACTAATCTCAGTGCTAGATCTTGAGATAAGGGGGTGGAGAGCAATCTCTAAATAAATTTTGTGGCCCATCGTGCCTAATAAGGGGGGACTGGCCCCCTAGGCCTCTCCCCTGGATCTGCCACTGAATTTATATGATAAGTGAAATAATTGCCCTTGTAAGTCTTTGTCGACTGAAGCCCGGCCTGTAGGTTACCGAAACTAAATGTTTATCAGACAATCCAATTATCACTCTGTTAATTTCATTTGGACGTTGTATCCAGTAATAATACTGAGAGTCAGTCTTAACTCTAAACTAGCAATCTTGACACCTGCTTGATTATTTAGACAGTTGTCTTCTCACTTATTTGCCCATTTTCATAGTTCTGGCTTCGGGTGTTAATGCCTCTTGTTGCTGCATTATTTTTGTGATCATAGCTTGAATACAAGACATTTTTTAGTTCATCTTCTGCACAAGACATTGGTACTACATGTGCTTCAATGAATCGTACTGGTAAGACCAATGCGAAGAAAGGTCCTGACAAAGATTACAACGCATTTTGGGATTTCCACGATAGGGAAGTAGAAGCACACATCATAGCCTCATTCTTGACCCATATTGGAGCACCAAACCTGGAAGGTAGCCCTATCAATTTCTATTCTATATTTTATAACCTGCTAAAAGGTGCCTGATGATTGGCCCATAATGACTGTGTTAACTTTGTATCAGTATTACATCCTTGCCCATTTATTAAAAGCCTCAAAGGCTAATTGGAATGGGGAGGGGGTAACTCCCTACAATGGGCTATTTGGAGAGGCTCTGCCTAAAGGGGTACCCTTTCCAGGCTTCAGAAATATAAGAAGATAGGAAGTTCACTAGTTGAAGTATATGAGTGGGTAGGGAAATATGATTGTCATTTTCTCTTGTACTAAGCCCCAAAATGGCTAGCAGATACATGTCAAGGCTGAGGAAAAGTAAAAATAATGCTGTGGTGTTGTAATTTATCCATAATGTTATGTAAAAGACAGTGCATTTACCACATTAAAGCTAGTTTCAAGCCATCCAAAGTTGTAAGAGGTTGGACCTGGGAACAAACTTCTGCATATAAAAATTTGTTAAGTTTCCCCTGGAAATTGAGAGGAGATTCTAGGATTTGATCAAAAGAGATTTGATACCAGGTGTAATGAGATTTTCAATATTTTTTTCCTTTTTACAGAATTGCCCAGCAATTTACAGTTACCACCAGAGACAACTAGTATGATTAATGAGCACCAGAAGACAATGGCTTGGTGCTATCATAGAGGACTAGATGACCAAATTTGTGTTTGATGGCACTGTTGATAGGGATCTCATGGTGGTTGCAGAAGAGGTAGAACGTCTCCACAACAACAAAATCAACGGTTACACATGTCGAGCACCTGATTGTGACATGAGGTACAAATCTCATGCATGGCAAGTACGGTAGGTGAACATTGTTAAAAACCTGGGAAAGGAAAGACTGCGAAGCGGCCTTTTTTTTTTCTTAACATCAGTTTAGGGTTATGTGAGTATAGCATCCAGGAGAATCAGCCTCACACGTTTATTGGCAGCAGAAAAACCGACTGTCAGTTTTCCAGCCTTGTTCTCCATTTTCAGCCTAGCTCCAGACCTCTTGTTGGACTACGAGCACATACTTGACTATGTACTAATACAGACTGTTTTGCAGTGTAGGGCAAGGGGGAGCACTATATTAATCCTTTGTGTTAAACTTGGCTATAGCTGGATTGCAGACAGAAAAATGAGGACCAAGGCTGTAATGAAGGGACAAAAAATTAAATCAATTATTTTGAATCTACCCTCTTGTAGCCATGAACTAGCCCAACATCAGAATCTTTGTGTCCCAGATACTCCACCAAATGAGGAAAAGGATAGTGAGGGGTACTTTCGATGTCAAATCAAATCAAATCAACTTTATTGGTACATCCAATTAAAATGGGTTTTCACATACCAATTACAATAAAATCTAATATGAACGATAGAAATTCAATATAAACATTTGAAAGTGAAAAAACATTACCATACTATTTAAAAAATATAAAATATGCATAATTACACCTATTGAGTGTCAATGGCTTAAAAACTCGTCAAGGGCACGTCCTTTAATCGCATTCTTAAAAACATTAAATGACTCTATGTTTGCTAAACTTTCTGGAAGGTCATTCCAGAGCTGAACAGCCCTATATGAGAAAGATCGCTGACCTGTTGCTGATCTAAAAGATGGTACATGAAGTTTATCTTTATTCCTAGTATTTCTAGTATGCATCTGCCTTCTTGTCGAAAACTTATTACACAAGGATGGTGGGGCTAATCCCTTTATACATTTGAAAGCCATTAAAATGTCTCTAACCTCCAGTTGCTTAGCAACCGGCAACCAGTGGAGTTCCTTTAACATCGGCGTGATGTGCTCATACTTTCTTGTGCCAGTCACAATCCGTGCCGCAAAATTCTGAACTTTTTGAAGCCTAGCAATGTTCTTTTTTGTTGTACTAGACCACATGGAGGAACAATAGAAAATCTTGCTGAACACTAATGAATTTATGATGGTTATGAGCGTAGACCTATCAAACAAATGTTTCACACGATTGATTTGGCACAGGCTACCTGTACACTTAGATACAACATCGGTCACATGTTCGTCAAAACTAAGGCGCGAGTCCACGATGACCCCCAAATCTTTTGCAGAACGAGACGGTAGAATCTCCTTACCGAGTAGCGTAACTCCAAAACCCTCCGGCACACGAGCTAACATCTGCGGGGTTCCAAGAAGCAATAACTTAGTCTTATCTGGATTTATCAGCAAGCTGTGTGTGCAACACCAGGCGGCAATCCGTTGCAAATCTTCGGATAAATGTTCCACAGCCATGGCTGTCTCCTGGACAGGAAACGAGAGATAGAGCTGGGAATCATCCACGTAACTCTTTAGTGAGCACAGGTTAGGGACAGCTGGAAGATCGTTGATGTATATATTAAAAAGGGCTGGTCCCAAGATCGACCCTTGAGGTACACCATAAGCTACCTGGCGAGGATCTGACACCTCACAACCAATCCTCACCCGCTGATTCCTGTCCGTCAGATAGCTTCTAAACCATTCCATGGCCTGTATAGACACACCCAGTTCTCGAAGTTTACGTAATAGGATCCCATGCTCGATACTGTCAAAGGCCTTTGACAAGTCCAACAGAACCAACGCTGTGACTTGTTTTCGATCCATTGCTTCGAGAATCATATCGGACATGAAAATATGGAGTGTTTCTGTCGAGTGCTTCTTCTTGTTTCCATTTTGATGTTCAGTTAAACAGTTCTGACGTGTTGTGTACTCCGTTAACTGATTAAGAGCTGCTCGTTCGCAGATCTTAGACAGAGCGGGTAGCAGTGATACTGGCCGGTTGTTATTAGCAACCTCATGATCTCCTTCCTTTAATATCGGTATCACCACGGACTCTTTCCAAGCAGATGGAAAAACTGATGTTAAAAGCGATCTATTTATAAGCTCTGTCAGAACTGGAAGTATAACTGGTAGGGCATCCTTGATCACACTCATGTGTAACTTATCCATTCCTGGTGCCCTGTTTAAAGGAAAAGACAAGATGATCTGGTGTACCTCAAAGGTAGTGACTGCGCGGAATCGGAATTCATCTAGTTGGAAAAAGTTCTTGGATGAGGGGGGCTTATACGCTGGAAGAACGTTAACTGAAGCAAGCCTCTTAGATTCAGCTGCAGCCCTTGCCCCCACAGAAGTAAAGAACTCATTGAACTCGTTCGCCAGTTCCGTCATATCCCTTGAGTACACCGGTTTCGATTTCTCTTTTGACGGGATACAGTTCCGTATTACCTTCCACATGGCACTACTACTCTGATTGCCATTCATCTCCTTTTGAACATGGATCCTCTCAGCATCATATAGCCTTCTCTTAACCTCATTACGACACCAACGGTAATGCTCCCAGTCCGTAACAGCGCCCGACACACGAGCAACTCTGTGTACTTGGTCTCTCTCATCCATCAGCTCCTTGATCTCTTGATCTAGAAATGGACATTGCCGATTTCTGACTTTCCTTTTCCTGACAGGCGCATGACGCTCCAGGACTGCCAAAAATTTCTCATTAAAATGTTCTACTTTTTCACTAGCATCATCAACCAAAGCATTTTCATACCATGGCACTTGGGCAAGATCATTCACAAAGCTCTCAGAGTTGTAATTCTTATAACTTCTAGATATAACATGTAGTGTAAGATGTGGCCTGGTATTCAAGGCAAAGGCATCAATGAACAGGTACATTGTCAGTCTTGTGTCTCAATAATTAAGTAATTAATATTAGCTCTTGGCCTCCTAGGCACTTCTCATTCACTTATACCATATCATTTTTCTGTCTTGGGCCTTTTACCTTCTCAAGATTGATATGCATGTGTTCACACCCTTAATCCCCTCCCATACCCCCACTACCCTAAAAGTGTCATTTCTGTGAGGAAAGAAAACAAAAAACAATAACTTAATGACAATAATCGTCGATTTAAAACCAAAAAATGTTTCATGCTTTCTATTACCCTTTACTTAAGTTGGTTATCAGTGGCTTGGAATATCAACACAGTTCCAGAAACTGAAATATTGCTCTTTCCCCCATCCCCTATTTTTCGTCCAGGCATGTTGAGAAGCAGCACCCAGAGTTTCAGCCAATGGAAGTTGATGAGCCATCTGACACCTGTGTAGATGATAAGGAAGATTCTCTTTACAATTACCACAGAGGCAAACTGATCTTTGGGCTGTTCATGTTAGACCTAAGTGATGCCATTAGGGAAGGAGATGGACAGAGGCTTATGAATCTTTACAAGATAGGCCTTATTTTCTTCAATTTTCATGGTTCTACCAAGTACTTCTACACAACTCTGTTACTTCTGGTTAAAGTTCATGTGATTCTCCCTGACGGACAAGCTTTTCGCTTAATCTGGAATCGCTTTTTCAACAAGCATGGTTGGAAAGGAAGGAACATACCCCTCGATCTTCGACTTGAACACCTGAATAACTTACTCAAGGCCTGCCTTAAAGTGCTTGGTGCTAACTTGAAGGAGAAGAATGCTCAGAGGATTGCCCTTAGCCTGGATGCAATGGAGAAAATTATAGACTCAGTTGACAAAGACTGTAATTTTGAAACACAGGTCAGAGGTAGACATGTGAAAAACCCGGAGGAGACCGTCAGCCAGATTGTTCAAGACCTCATCCACATAAAAGCATTGCAACAGACCCCCGGCCAAGAAGGTCACCCCTCTTTCCCAAAATTTCCTCCGAGTATCCCAGGGAAGGTGGATTACAGTAAATTGTACCAGAGCATTAAAGAGAAGATTCATCTTTGGAGTAATATCTATTTTTTAGTCAGAAAAATTGTTGCATTTATGTAACTAAAAAGCAGCCCTTTTTACATGAGGAGTCCCATTCAGGTTGAGGTTTAGTCAGAGTTTGGGGGTGTTATATTGTATTTGAAGAATGTCAAATATGATTCTTGGTTAATATTTATTAACCTAGGTAGATTCTCAGTCTCATTTGTCTTATTACCCTTGAATAATTTCAAGTATTATCAGTACTTCGGGAAGATGTTTTGATCATTTCAGTGAAAATTCCAGTGCTAAGGTATTCGATATAAAAAGGTCAGGTACAAATGGTAGAATTTACTCTTCATTTAATAACTGAGTAGATGGTACATTCTGTCATAGATTTTTAATAATCTAAGTGTTCAAGTGGCCCTTATCACTATGAGGAACTTTTGAATGATGTTTCATATGTACATACTTAATATAGAATAAAATTGGAAGATTCCTGGTCAACACATTGTTATTCTTTCACTGTAAGTATAAGTCCCAAGAATAACTGAGTACATGGTACAGTCTACGACAGAATGTTGATAATCTAAGTGTTCAAGTGGCCCTTATCACTATGAGGAACTTTCGAATGATGTTTCATATGTACATACTTGATATAGAATAAAATTGGAAGATTCTAGGTCAACACTTTGTTGTTCCTTCACTGTCAGTATAAGTTCAAGGTTTAGTGACTGTCAATCAACCTTACAGGTTCTCCAGTTCCTCAACATTGACCCAGTCGTCTTCAAAACTCCAAGGCTAGGCTCGTCAAAGTAGTTCTCAATCTCAAACAAGTTTTTGGGAGGAATTTCCTCATTCAAATTGTCACATTCAGTCAAATGCATGAGTTCTTCAATTCCGGGAATGTCGTCAAAGATCTCATGCAATATTTCCAAGATTGTAAAGGCATGCTCTTTAGAGAACAATGGAAATGTACTCATCAGATAGTCAAGCGTACCGCAGTGTTCGCAGTCCTTCACAATTGCCTCAATAAGCTCTGATGAAAAACCGTGTGTACTAACAGGATCAAAGGGTGATAACGCAGATGAGTCATATTGTTCTTTGATTCCAATAAGAGCTATTTTCAGGGCTTCACGGTCTTCAGTAGAAACCCTTCTTTCAAATCGAGAAGTGCAAGTGGTAGTAATTTCTTTGTCTTGATGTTCAAATAGCTGTGGAATCCTACTGCATCCATCACCATTGCATTTGCAGTCACGCTCACATATTGAGCAACAGTCATGCATGGGCACAACAGACTTAACATTAGAGTCGAAGGATAAGTAGATTGCTTGCCTGAGGCAACTAGTTGATTTGGCAAAATCCTTGATTCCCTTTTCACAAAATGACAGTTGTTGACCATGATAAATGGTGATGTCACAAGCCTTCTCACCATTCCTTCCTGCTCTCCCTGCTTCTTGTATGTGGTCTACAGAGGACCTTGCAGGACCATAATGGACAACATACTTTACATCTGGAAAATTAACACCCATGCTGAGAGCTGATGTGGCAATAACAACCCGGACACTCCCTCTGTCACTTTTGAAAGAATCCATTACCCTCTTCTTGTATTAAGAGAGAGTAAGAGAATGAAAAATGCCAACCAATTTGTTCTCAGGCACTTGGGGCCTTTCAGGTACGTACACAGCATTTCCAAGCATGGCAAACAGATTTCCTACCATTGAGGCAACATTTGTCATTGTATTGCAGAATACGATGGTTTTAGGTGTTGACAAGCCGTGAGTTTTGATCATGTTTGAAATCCATTCAAAGTTGGAATGATAATGTTCCCTCTTGACCATAATGACAGAAAATTTGATGTTACTTCGCTCAGGAGAAAGTGTTATGCAATGCACATCTTGTTTCATAGCCAGTAAGTTTCTTATTTTCTTGCCCATCTTTGAATCCACAGTGCCAGTAAGAGCCAAAACTGGAACTCCTGAAACCAAAGACAGTTAAAACTTGTGTGTGTATGCAAAAATCTGAGTAGTATCCTTAGGTGATTTAAGACTGTGCTCTGAGAAACGTTGCTCAGAACCTTAAAATCCAGGCTGTACAGCAAGCATATGATCCTTGGTTTTTTTAGTCGACTTTATTTTTCTAGTCTTCTCCAGTGTATTTTACATGTACTCTCTTTCTAAGACAAACAACTCTGTGGCCGGCACTATGTGTCCATCTTAGAGAGGGGTCTGTCTTAGTGAATCCACCGAAATAGTGTTTGGGTGTCCATTTTAGCAAGGTGTTCGTTTTATGAAGGTGTCTTTTAAGGTAGAGTTGACCATCTTCAAGGCTTCTTTGTAAGGATAACATTGGACTCTCAATTTAACTGATGTAGCACTGTCCACTTTGCAAAAAAATTGATGCCTTTTAAAATTGGGAATGTGCAGTTTATTAAAGGTTGCCATAACCAATACACCTGAATCCCCAATGATTTCTCAAATCATTAGACTATGGTGTTCATTTAGTTTCAAAAATTGTTTGCAATTCCGTTTTGACTCTATAGCAACCTGATCCTAAACCATGTTCTTTTGTGGACAATAATATTGTGGTACTTTCCCAGCATTTTCCACTCATTGTTGGTGCTTTTGATAGTTTCATTATTGTCAACAAAACACAAACTTACCACTACAGAAAGATCTCAAAACTGAAAGGTTTCCATACTGCTCTCTGAATGGTTTCGATTTCTTCTGGTTATATGAATCAATTCCCCTGTTAAAGATGAGTTAAGTTGAAGTAAATATTAACCAAGGATATAAGAACTTGTCATTACATTGTGATACTAAAATTGAAACTACCGGTATGCTGGTTCCCTTTCTACATTTCTACGCGGCTGACATGTTTATAATAACTGGCCTAAAGCTGGATGCATTTTTTTCCTCATGAAATTTCATAAAGCTATTGAAGCTTAATTTATACCTATTCGTCATTTCATAAATGCAAACGACCGAAATGAGATTCAAATCAACTAACCAAATATAAGTTGACTGAAAATATTTACAAAACAGCAGCCTACCATGTGTATACAGTGTGCGATTCATCCAGAACAATAAGGGACAACGAACAACGAAAAGTGGTATCTCCTTGCTTCAAAAGTGTACTGAACTTCTCGTTCAGTACTTGCTCGGCGGCAGCATACACCACCTGAACATCTCCGTCTCGAATCGCGGTTAGGGTCTCGCAGTCAAAACGCAATTCACATGCAGAAAGGCCGAATTCATTCGACGCTATTTGTTCGTCCATGATACTTTTCAGTGGCGAGATGACAATGATGGTCGGCCGTTGGACGGAACTTGAACTCTTTGCATAAACAAACATCTGATAGATAACACTTTTGCCAAATCCTGTTGGTAGTATGCAAAACACATCGTTTCCCCTGAGCAGCGACTCCAAAGCTTCCTTCTGCTCCGGTTTTAAAGCAAATCCAAGTTCTCGCGCGAGCAAATCCAGGCGATCAACATCCATCACGTGAAATGACTTGTTGAAAACATTACTTGACAGCTTGTTGACAGCTTGCATCAAAATTTAGCCAATGGGAATTGCCCGTGGCTGGGAGAAGCGGGTAATTCGAACGAATATAACGTATGCAAAACGGACAGTCCGTATTTTTAGCGTCTCTCCCCAGTCTCACTCTCCGTTTTCAGCCTCGTTCCAGACCTTTTGTTTGACTGCTCGCGCTTACTTGAATACGCAAAAATACGGACTGTTTTGCAGTCTAATGTAAGAAGAAATTAGAAGATAAGTTTAATACTCTGGATATGAACTGGACAGAGCTGTCTGATCCAGAGGCTTTGAGAAAAGAGAGAACGTTTAAAGAAGATTGCAGAAAGGGTCTCATGGAGGGGTCCTCGGAGTTCATGCTGCTATTACCAAGCGAATATGCCAATAATGTGGCTTGTGAAACAGATTACATGAACAGGCAAGCAATGGAGTTGTGGTCGCGTCGTAGTGGAAAAACATCATCCTCCAAGAAAAGTAGTTGCACTTCAAAGCACTCAAGTGCCTCTCAAATTTCTTTAATGAAGATTAAAACTATGACTGAGTTGGCCAAGAGGAAGGTAGAAATGCAATATGCAAGAATTGAAGCACAAAAGCAAATGGAAATGCAAAGGAAGAAATACGAAATAGAAGAAATCCAAAGACTGAAGAGTTACGAAAGTGCTTAAGCAGAAGCAGACGCGGTGGCAAAGATAGAAGATGAAGAAGGGAACCCTAAGTTGCTGAACCTTGACCAATTCGCGATCACTAAAGCTGATAAGGAGGAACGGACCTGCCACTATGTCTCATCTTTAACAACTCTCTCCTCCACCGGCAGTCAGGATCCTTTACCATTCTTGTTTGAACCTTCGGCTAAAGATGTACATCCTTCCATGTCGCCAGAAATGGCCCTTGGCGCACATCTAAACATAGTGCAAGGAACAAGCTCAGATCAAAAGGAAACCCAAGATAGTGTGCAAGACCCGCCAGGGAAGATTCCCTCTCGTTCAGAACCATGAGTTGCTTTAATCCAGCCCTTTAGTGAACCTGCCAGCACTGAAAATCAGCACCGTGCAATCACTGAGGCGATAGCTGAAGGCATGGAGGCGGCAAGATTACCAACGCCTCACCTAACAGTATTCAGTGGAGACCCCCTTATTTGGCCAACATGGAAGGTTGCTTTCGAAACTGTGATCGAG